GGGGGGGGGGGGCAGGGCAAGTCGAAGACAAGGGAACAGCACGCAACATTACCCACTCGCGCGCGGGCGCACACGCACGCCCACACCCACACACACACCCAGCGGCAGGAGAAAGAGGGGGAAAGGGTCCGCCGCAGGGATGACGCTCCCGCAACCGGGGGGCTCAGGCTCCGGGGCGGGCAGAGTAAACACAGGACACCCCCCCCGTTCCCCGGGGCCCGGAGTGGCGGGAGACAGGAGGGGTCCCCTACGCGCGGTGGGGGGCCGATCTCCCGGCCCGGCGCGCCTGGCGATGGGGCGGGAATAAGCGGGCTGCGGGGGGAATGTGCGCGCGCAAAAGAAAAAAGGCCCATCCAAAAAGCCCGGCCGTCGGACCGACCCGCGCGTCGCCGGCTCGGCCCGGGAGGGCGAGAGAGGGAGGGCCGCCAAAGATGGGCGCGCACTTCTGCCCGTAAAGCCCGCCCTCCGGGAAACGTGTGCTCTTCCGATCTGGCCGTCGGACCGACCCGCGCGTCGCCGGCTCGGCCCGGGAGGGCGAGAGAGGGAGGGCCGCCAAAGATGGGCGCGCACTTCTGCCCGTAAAGCCCGCCCTCCGGGAAAAGGGGGGCGGGGGGCGAGGACCGCCCCGCGCTGGCGCCCACCGCCGATCGCGCGCCGTCCCCCGAAGCCCGTGCCCCTAGACGCTTGAGAAAAGCAGCTCGACCGCAGATCGCGCGCGCAAATGGAGACGGCGCGTGCGCGCGCCCGCGCGCGCGCCATTGATCGGGCTGATCATTCTGCCGGCGGCGCCCCCGTGCACACCCGCCTGCCCGGGCCCGCAGGCTGGGCAGATCGGAAGAGCACACGTCCGCCGATCGCGCGCCGTCCCCCGAAGCCCGTGCCCCTAGACGCTTGAGAAAAGCAGCTCGACCGCAGATCGCGCGCGCAAATGGAGACGGCGCGTGCGCGCGCCCGCGCGCGCGCCATTGATCGGGCTGATCATTCTGCCGGCGGCGCCCCCGTGCACACCCGCCTGCCCGGGCCCGCAGGCTGGGCCCGCTCGCACGTTCACCCCCCTCGGCCCCGCCAAGGCTGGAGGGGGGCGCCGGATGCGCGTGCACGGCGCACACCAGGCCCCCCACATCACAAGGCGCCGAGGGCTGATCACACTTTCCCTGGGCGAGCGCGCGCACCTTCCCCAGGCGCCCTGGGGGCTGCTTGCGTGGAGACAGGCGTGGGGGCGCCCGCGGCAGTGGGGGCGCCCGGCGCGCCCGTGCACGGGGACCACCCAGCCCGCACACACTGGACACACGGGCAACATGTGGCCGACAGACGGCCCGGCCCCAAACCCCCCCCCCCCCCCCCC